CATTAAAGCACAATGGCCCAGGGTCGACTCTAGACATCTATTTATTTTTGCTGCAGGCCTTTTTCTGCACTCTGCATCTCTACCATGTGTGTGTGTGTGTGTGTGTGTGTGTGTGTGTGTGTGTGTGTGTGTGTGTGTGTGTGTGTGGTAAGAAGGGTGGGGTATATTGTTAGAAGTGGGCAGGGCACGATTTGACTTTTTGCCCCTGTGCTCTGAGACAGGATTGCACTGCGTGGCCATAGTTGAACCTGCAGTAACAGCAGCTACACACACACACACACACACACACACTTGACAAACCTGCAGAAAAACATAGCAGACTCCGTACTACAGTTTTTGTGGAGACATTGATGAGCTTGATGTTTTACGGCTTCCACACGGATTAATAAAGAGCCATTTGCAAACAACGATCACTATTAATTTTCCAGTTAGTTTGACATGGTATTAGTCCATGACACAGAGAACAACAACATGACCTCAGTGACATTAAGCTCATTATGTCTAGACAGAACTAAACGCCGCTGAACATCCTATTCTTCTCTGGATGAGATTAGTGTCGCATGGAGATGCGAGGAGGGGCGTGTCGGCCGTCTTTTATTTCAAAATGATGATATCTAATGTCGGAGTCATGCGTAGAGGCTGAGGGGGAAACCCTCGAAGTTCTTTCTTCATCTCTTTTCTCTCTCTTCTCTCGGGCTCCCCTCCCCCCCAGCCCACGCCGGGCAGCCCGCTGAGGCCCAGCGGGCTGCCAGGTCATACTTAACACTAACCACAGCTTCTCCACAAACCTCCTCTCTCACCATCCCCCACCCGATTCTTAAATCTGCATTACAATGAAGACGGTAGAGAGGAAAGGAGGAGGTGGGGGGTGGTTTGAGCAGCTGGCGAAGAGAAAAAAAACTGATGGTGGGCTCAGAGAGAGTGATGATCTCACAGATTGGTTGAAAAAAAAAAGCCCCACGTAGCGGTTAACCCAAAACTGAGCTAATGAGTGTATCTGTGTGCGTGTTGGGTGTCTAGCAGTTGGGGGTAGATTCATTTGCATGTGGCTGCACGCAAGTGGTTGTTGTCATATATGTTTCTTTGTGTACAGCAAACAAGTTGCACTTGTGCTGTCAGCTATTCCTGAGCAGCAGGGAAGATGTCTGTTTGATTTTGTATCAAAAGCAGCCCTTTTTTATGATATGCGCGGAAGCTGTCATGTAATATAGCTTATCATGTTTTATTTATCCACTTTCAGCAGTGTGTCAGCATGTCTATGCTTGTGCTCGTGGGATTTCTGAGTGTCATAGGTCAGCTGACATTTTGCAGTTTTGACAGGAGGAGGTGTGGATTTGACTTTTCAAAAGCTTCATCGAGCTGCCTTCTGCCTGTTTTTCACTGACAGCTTTTTTGAGACACATGAGGGCCATTACGGGAATAAAAAAACACAATAGCCCAATTTTTTAACATCTAACGCACAAGCCTAGACATCACAGGAAGTTATATGTAATGCCTACACTGCGAAAGATCACATGTAATGCTGTCAAAGCTTTAATACATAATAATTTTGCATGCCTGTCACTAGAACTTCATTCATTCTAAATTGTTTAGTGTTTAAAGTGATAAATTGCTGTTAGTAGGTGAGACCTTCTAATAAGATCTGCACTGTGACATTTATAGAGCAGGGTGTTTATTCACACTTGAGGCTGACACATTAAATGGTTGTCAGCTCAGCTGAAATGGTTTTCATGTCTGAACTTTATTTCCTATTTTCATGCTGATTACTGCTTGAAAGGGGTTTCAACTTTCCAAGAAAGCCCACGTTTAAGTTTAAGTATGTAAGTCGCTGGTACAGGGTAAATATAAATGTTGCTGAAGTCATAACAAAAGGTCAGATTGCATTAAAATAATTGCAAGAAAGCCAAAGGAGACATGAGTATGGTACTGGGTCCAACTTGGGGACTAAAACAATGATTAGATTATGTGACAAACAAGCCATAATCAGTCACAGAAGTGCTGATTATGCACATATCCACAGCATCAAATAGGGCCGCTGGCATGGATAATTTATCCAAAAGGAGTTGTTTGGAGTGTGTGACGTGATGCACTGGATTATAGCACAAATTAAAGTGATCAGTCACTCCGAGTGCAACCCACATCACAAAGGTTCACGGGGGAAAAAAGCCAAAAGAAAAACAACTAAGACCCAAAGGCTGTCTCAAAAAGTCTGGAAAGGTTTTCACGACCATCCGTCCAAGCTCCTTATGGGGACTTCATGTAGCTGACACAGGGTTAGCTGACGTATTATCTGCTACACAGTGATAAGCTACAGGTCTATGGTTAGGCTAACATAAACATATTAACACAGGGACAGTAATGCAGGATGAGGGTTAAACTGCTCTCAGCTAACATCCATGGTACGGACAAACACCATCATATGGAAAGAATAAAACAATGAAGATGGAAGAAACTATTATGTCCCTGCATTGTTTGGGTTACTTCAGATCCCAAACTTAAAGAAATCTTTTGATTTTTAAACAGCATATACATGTATCTTTACAAGAATGATCACTGAGTAGAGGTGCTTTTGTCTAATCAGTTCAGAATCAGGAGTTATACAAACACAGCATTTACCAATATACTCTAAAATATAACGCTAGCATGCTCATATGTTCAAGTTTGCAGTGATAGCCCTCCTAAGATTTATTTCTTATCACAACACAGTAGCATACAAACTGACAAGTTTTAGCCCACCAAGAGATTTTAGACCTGTCCAGAGTGAACCCTGCTGCTCGCCCTATGACAGCTGGGATCGGTCCCAGCCCACCTGCATGGATGGATCCGGTTAAGCTGACTGCAAAGATTTAACGGTAAACCATCCAGGTGTTGGTGTAATATTTAGAGACCATCAAATGTCAATGACATTCAGCATCTTAATGAATAAACAGTTAACTCCGCGCTTCCTGAGCAGTTTAAGCAACTACCAATAAGCAGTGTTGGGGAGTAACGGAATACATGTACCGCC